CTTCACTGTGGAGTAGAACTGACATCACCATGCTGATATACTTAATTAGATTCACTTTTTGATTGTCATTGTCTAACTTTCAACTCTCCTAATACATTCCAATCAGTGAAACCTCCAAACAGATCATATTGTCACCATCAGTTGGCAAGTTATTTACCTTGTATTATGCTCAGATAGAAATGGCAGCTGTCAAGTTAAGGATTCTGAAAAAATATATAAATGACTATATACTAAATACATATATATATAATGATAGATAGATAGATAGATAGATAGATGGTGTGACTCACCGATGTTTGATGGGCAACTGTGCTGCAGTCAGAGTCTGTCATTTATATAGTATCTTTACTGTAGACTCAGCTGAAATGACCGGCTGGATTTGGTCATGTTATTCTACATGGTGTGTGATGATGCAGCTCAGTCCTGGTGGAAAATAGCAACATGTTGTCCTTCATTTGTTTTGTTGGTTTGCTGGAGCATGTGATATTTTAATTATTTTCATGGTTTACATCAACGGAACAGCCTTTCTATACTTAAATTCATGATGTTGATATGTTGTAAATTTTAAAGCAACAACGTATTAATCATAGACATTTGGATAATACACTTATATGGTATAAAAGTTTTACAGTCCATGTTTTTCTTATGTTGTGTCTCTTCTTTTTATTGTAGGCTTTCTTGTTGTATGTATTTATTTGTTTTCAATGTTTCATTTGATGTCACTGAGGTCTTATTTAAATGTTGCATCTTATTTTAATCTTGGCAAAGAGGAGGAACTTGGTTCAGCTGTGAAGAAGCACTCAGCTGTCACTGCTATTTAGTTTTAGAGGTGACAGCAAGACTGACACAACGTGATGACTAAAAGTTTTTACTTTTGATAAAAGGTCATATACAACTTATGTTTTGGGCAACTATCTGTTACATAGCGATTGATATTGCTAAATCACATGATGTAATTTACCATTCTTACCCTTGTTTTACCAGATACATTCTTGTGTTCAGCAAGTTCCAACATTTGTTTTTGGACATTTAGCATCCATGTTATTTCCTTTTC